TTCTCTCTTTTCTCTCCCCCCTCTCTCTCTCTCCCTCTACTCCCCCCCCTTCTCTCTCTTTTTTTTTTTTTTTTTTTTTTTTTTTTTTCCTCCCCTCCCCCCCCTTCTTTCCCTTCCCCCCCCCCCCCCCCCCCCCCCCCCCCCCCCTCCCCCTTTTTTTTTTTTTTTTTTTTTTCTTCTGGTAGCCACATCGCGATTCGCTCCGTGCGACACCAGCATCCCTCCTTCCTCCTTCCTCCGTTTCTCTTCGCTCTTCCCTCCTTTCCATCTCTCCCTCCTCCTTCCTCCCTTTCTCTTCCCTCCTCTCTCCCTTCTTCTTCGTCCATCTCTCCCTCCTCCTTTTTCCTCTCTCTCTCCTCCTTCTTCGGCTCTCCCTCCTCCTTCCTCCCTCGGTCTTCGTTCGTTCATCTTTCCATCCTCCCTCCTCCATTTCTCCCGCCTCCTTTCTTCCTCCTTTCTCCACCATCCATCTCTCCTTCCTCCTACCTCCCTTTCAAGCTCTCTCTCTCTCTCTCTCTCTCTTTCTCTCTTCGCTCTTCCCTCCTCCTCCTCTCTCTCTCCTTTGAATGCTCCACCATCCAATCACCTTTTTTTTTTTTTTTTTTTTTCGGTAGCCACATGGCGATTCGCTCCGCGCGACACCAGCATCCCTCCCTCCCCCTTCCTCCCTTTCTCTTCCCTCCTCTCTCCCTTCTTCTTCATCCATCTCTCCTCCTCCTTCCTCCCTTTCTCTTCCCTCCTCTCTCCCTTTTTCTTCGTCCATCTCTCCCTCCTCCTCCCTCCCTCTCTCTCTCCTCCTTCTTTGGCTCTCCCTCCTCCTTCCTCCCTCAGTCTTCGTTCGTTCATCTTTCCCTCCTCCCTCCTCCATTTCTCCCGCCTCCTTTCTTCCTCCTTTCTCCACCATCCATCTCTACCTCCTCCTACCTCCCTTTCAATCTCTCTCTCTCTCTCTCTCTCTTCGCTCTTCCTTCCTCCTCCTCTCTGTCTCCTTCGAATACTCCACCATCCAATCACCTTTTTTTTTTTTTTTTTCGGTAGCCACATCGCGATTCGCTCCACGCGACACCAACATCCCTGCCTCCTCATTCCTCCCTTTCTCTTCCCTCCTCTCTCCCTTCTTCTTC